CCCTGCTGCCCTACCTGGAGCAGTTCAAGCGCATCCCGCTGTGGCTGGGCGAGGACCTGCGCTCCTGGGAGGCCGCCAAGCTCTTTGCCCGCAAGCTGAACCCCAGGAGCTGCTCCCTGGTGCAGCCCGGCGACCAGCAGCCGGGGCCGCTGGAGGCGCTCAACCGGGGCATCAGCCTGGCCAAGGTGCTGCACTCGGCCCTGCCGGCGAGCCACAAGTCCATCGTCTCCTTCCGCCAGCTGCGGGACGAGGTCTTCAGCGAGCTGGCCAACGTGGAGCAGGTGGCCGGGGTCAAGTGGACTCGCTTCCCCGACCTCAACAAATTTCTCAAGGGCCACCGCAAAGGGGAGCTCACCGTCTTCACAGGTGAGCGGCCGGAGCGGGGAGGGAAGCATAGCCCCCACCACACACACACTCTCACTCGCTCGCACGTTCTCGCTCGCACACTCACTCTTTCACTCACACTCTCACTCTCACTCACTCTGCAGGAGGCTGCTGGACTTGCTCGGGGACCAGCTGTCTCCCGTTGAAAGCAGTTAGCGCGGTGCTCGTGCTACTCCAGGAGCAAGCAGGAGATGCCAGACCCTCTGCTGAGGTTGCTGGGCCCCTTGTCCTGTACAAACAGTTTGACAAAGGGGCCTTGGGAGTCAAGTGATCCCACCTCCAGCACAGACCCAGGATGCCCTACCCCCACCCCCTGGCCCTGGGTTTGCGTTATAGAAAACGCCTGTTAGGTCTTAGTGAGTCCTGGTCTTCCACAGGCTCTGAAGCAATCTCCAGTGAGGAGTCTCCCTTGCTGCGCAGGGGTGCTGCGGTGCCTTTGTTGGGGAGGGGCGGGGGGCACGTCTCCTCAGCTAACCTCCCCTCCCCACCCCATGGACAGGTCCGACGGGCAGCGGGAAGACTACCTTCATCAGTGAGTACGCACTGGACCTCTGCATGCAGGGCGTGAACACGCTGTGGGGCAGCTTTGAGATCAGCAACGTGCGCCTGGCCAAGGTGATGCTGACACAGTTTGCCACCCAGCGTCTCGAAGAGGAGCTGGACCAGTACGACGAGTGGGCCGATCGCTTCGAGGACCTGCCGCTCTACTTCATGACCTTCCACGGCCAGCAGAGCCTCAAGTGAGGGGCGCTCAGACCCCTGCGCGTGGGGCGTTGGCTGTCGTGTGTTTCCCGGGTGCAGGGAGGGGAAGGGGTTTCTGGAGCTGGCCTCACTTCAGTACAGTTCCCTGCTATCCTGGCTGTGTCAGGCAAGGCAGGGTAGCACCTTAGACACAGACTGCTTCTGTAGATAACCTGCTAACACTTCTCCTGGGAGGTGGCTCCGGACCCTCCTTGCTGCAGCGCTTGCAGACCTGGTGTCCAGTCTGAGTGACTTATTCATACCTGGCTGTTCTTGTGGGTGCAGAGGATCCTGGGGGGATCTGTACGTGTGCAGGGGGCTTTGCAAGGTCTGAGCAAGCACAAGGCTTGTGCCCAAATACTGCAGGCCAGGGGGAACAGATCGGTGTGAATGGTGAGTGGTCGGGGCTATGGAGCTTAGTGAGGCCCCAGTCTCTGCAGCGCAGGATGAAACTCCCCTTCCTAAGGGAGGGAGCTGTGCGGGTGGGACTCGAAGCCCACCCGGCTGGTTGGCAGCAGGGGCTGAGGGGCTTGGTGTGCTCCCGCAGGGCCGTGATCGACACCATGCTGCACGCCGTGTACATGTATGACATCGTCCACGTCGTCATTGACAACCTGCAGTTCATGATGGGGCACGAGCAGCTCTCAGCAGACAGGTGCATCCCTGCCGCATCGCTTCCTTCCTGGGACCCGTCCTCCCTCTGGTGTCACCTTTGAACCCGCCTTGACCCCCGCTGGCTCCCACCTTTTCTGGGCATTGCCTGCGTGATGTACCCCTTGCTACCCCCCCCGGTGCCGGTCCAGCCTGAGCTGAAGGATGGGTTCCCGGGGTCAGATTGTCAGCTGGCATTGCTATGTCCCGCACCCCCCTTGCCAGCCCAGCCCCCAGCTCAGTCCTGTTCGAGGCAGGGGCTGAAGTGCAGGGGGTAACTGCCTTGGGTACGGTCAGTGCGGGGCCCATCCAGACCGCAGGGGCCTGGCCCTGCCTGCTGCTCTGATCACTAGGCCCGGGCTGTGGTCAATGGGCACTGGGGAGACGCTAGGCTCCTTCCCCAGACCCCTGAGTCTTGTCCTGCTAAAGGCCTGTGCTGTCTGAAAAGGATGGGGCACAGCCTGTCCCAGCAGGCATTTGGCCACCCGGACTCCTGGGTTCTGCCCCCGTCAGCTCTGACCGGCTGTGGGAGCCCAGGCGGAAGCAGTGAACTTGTCCCCGGGGCTCTGGAGTAAATCGGGGCTGTGATTCTCGCTGTCACTAGGGGCTGCAGGGGCTGGTGTCAGGGGGTGCTCTTGGTCCATGTTCCTGGTGCTCCTGATCTGTGCCACAGCTGAGTGACACAGGGGTCAGGGGTGTCGTAGAGCCAGGGCTGGCACTCGGAGCCCCTGACCTTCCCCTTCCTCTTCCCTCCCACAGGCTGGCTTCGCAGGACTACATTGTGGGCGCCTTCCGCAAGTTTGCCACGGACAACTCATGCCATGTGACGCTGGTCATCCACCCTCGCAAGGAGGACGATGAGCGGGAGCTGCAGACGGCTTCCATCTTCGGCTCTGCCAAGGTAAGCAAGGCCGAGGTCCTGCCCTGCCTCTGGGGCCCGGGCAGAGCGGTCTGTATGGGTGTGCGGGGCCGGGGGCATAACAGCCTGGGTGTGGCGGTGAGTGGCCGCGGTGCAGCCTTACAGCGCTGTCCATGGCCCCCCTCTCTGGGAAAGCCCTGAGCATGGAAGAGCCCTGCTGTGCCCCTTGGAACAGGTGCCGGGGAGGCAAAGCTCCTGCCCTTCCCTGCAGCCACTTCTGGGGTGGAATATGCCCTCAACAGCCCCTAATAACACCAAGGTCATGCCCCATGGGGTAGGTCACACTGGTGAGTAGATGCAGAGGCAGTCAGCAGGAGATGGGGAAGTCCCGGTCAGGCGCAGACACCCCCACTCCCTTCCTTCTGAGTCTTCAGAGATCTGGTGCCCTTTCTCCAAGGCCCTGGGCCCAGCTCTGAAGGAGCGAACTGCATTCATCCTGCCTGTAGGGGCCGGTGCGTTTGGGCTGGGGTGCGACGACGACATGCTTCCTGCCTGCTGCCGGGTGGTTTTATGGGGTGCTCTTTTTA